ATATCAATACAAGTGTTTGGTTAATTAACTTTTTGTAACTCCAAAATGTTAAAATTCAAAAAGCTACTCCAAACAACTTTTTCAATTAGCTTTTTGAGAAAAGAAATTATACCAAACAGCTATAAGCTAACAATTAATTTACCAAACACTTTTTTTTACAATCAGCTAATGTTATCAACTAGTTATACCTTCTAAGTAACACAATCAGCTAACAGCTATCAGCTAATAGCCATTTACCAAACAGGGCCATAGTATTTTCCTATGAGATTATATAGTGATGGGGGAGTTGGGTCCCAAAAAATGATAGGAGTATGGACTCTAAGGTCATTCACAATGATTCTCCCCAATTTGTGGTTCAACTCTTCTACATCAACATATAATATATTTTCTTATTTTCTTTCTAATTCTACTCTCGTCATATTTCCTCCCATTCGCGTTCTGGTGCGAATGGAGCGCCCAGGAGCGAAAATGTGAACTAATCAGTGTGCACCATGTGTCCAGATCTAGGTGCACATATAGTTATAACTAGGTGCATCTAGGTGAAAGTAGGTGCACTTATAGGTGAAAGTAGGTGCACTTGATCAATGAATGTTAACAAGACAAAATTACATTCACTTGTAGGTGAAAGTACGTGCAATTGTAGGTAAAAGTAGAGGTCAAATTACATCCACTTGTAGGTGAAAGTAGGTGGACCCGATCAATGAATGCTAACACATGGCGCGCGCTGATTGGTTCGCATTTCTCACTTGGTCAGCCATTCGTACGACATCGCGTCCCTATATATATATATATATATATATATATATATATATATATATATATATATATATATATATATATATATATATATATATATATATATATACATACATGTATGTATGTATGTATATAGGGTTGCATTTATACGAGGACAGTAATATATAGAGGATTGTGCAGACAGATTTTGTGGCACACGACAAATTGGTATCATGCACACAATTTAATACACAATGACACGCAAGAACGCATGTAAACATCAAGTTTCGAACGCAAGCTCTATTAATTAACAAACTTATGCACACGACATACAAATTATGTCACACGACTACATTCGACCATGCACACGATATACAGACTAATGGCACACGACTACATCTGTCCCCATAGTCTTCTATAATATAGTTGTCCTCATTTGAATACACTTCTCTCTCTCTCTCTCTCTATATATATATATATATATATATATATATATATATATATATATATATATATATATATATATATATATATATATATATATATCAACAAGGTGGTGGGGGACAAGCCTCCCACCACCTAAGTGTTTTTATCGTGCGTGAGCAATATGTGCCACGTGATTGGGGCGTGGTGCGTGTGAATTATCTCCAGATAGGCGGCTTTTTTCGGAGAAGAAATTTTTTTCTCTCTTTAAATGATTTTCTCTTCTTTTCTCCTCCTCTTATGTTCATAGTTGGATGCGTCCTAAGAGTATTTTTTTTTTTTTTTTGTAGATTTTTTGAGATGCAAAAGTTAGAAGAGGTTTTTTTTTTGGTTGATTTTTTTCAAAATTTTTTTTTCTCGAAATAGTTTTTTTTTTTTTTTGGGGGGGGGGGGGGAGCAAAAGCAAAAAAAATGAAAAACATGCATGTGAGAACGCGCATTTGCCTATTAGGCGCTTTAGAGTGGCAGGCAACTGGGCCGTCACTCTGAATTTAAAAAAAAAAAAAAAAATTGGATGCCGCTATGCAACGACATGCTTTTTTTTTTTTTTTTTTTGGAGCTTTTTATTATTTAATTTTTTATTAAATGTTTAAAAATTTAAGCAATGTAAATTTTTAATGTAATATATAATTTATTGACATATTATCTTAATTGAAATTTTATAATTATCAATTAAATTAAATTTTGACATGTTTAATTTAAAAATAAATAATAACAATAATAATAATAATAATAATAATAATAATTATTATTATTATTATTATTATTATATTATTATTATTATTATTATTATTATTATTATTATTATTATTATTATTATTATTATTATTATTATTATTATTATTATTATTATTATTATAATCACAAGTTTAATTTATTGAATGATAATAAATTAAGAAATAATTATAATATAATTTTTGTAAATTGGTGCAGTGGTCTACATAAAACTTGGAAAATATCAAATTACTGAGAAGAAGAATTTTTATATACCCTACTATTCAAGGATAAATTAATTGTTGATTATTATTTATGAGGGAAAATATAATATTTATTAGAGGAAAATGTGTAATACTAACTATAGATAAATTGATTATTACTTATGAGGAAAAACGTAATAGTTATGAAAAAAAATCTAATACTAATCATAGATAAATAGTACTCCGTATTACTTATGGGGGAAAATGTATAATACTTATGAGAAAAGTGTAATAAATCATGGATAAATCTATTATTACTTATATGGATAATATAATACTTATTAGGAAAATGCAATACTTTTAAAATACAAATGTAATATTTAAGGGCGTTTGGTTGAAGGGAATTTAAATTCCCTTCCCACTTAATTCCCAACTAATTCCGAAGGCCATAAAATTCCCTTAGCTTGTTTGGTTGAAAGGAATTGCAATTCCATGGAATTGCAATTCCTCAATTTTCATGGAATTAAAATCTCATGTCCCCCCTGTGATTTTAATTCTTGGGATTTTAGAAAGAAAAAAAGATAGTGATGAGTCAAAATTACCCATTCTTTTTTTTTTTAACCTAAAATTAATGCCTAACAACAACAATGGACATTTTTGACTTTATACTACTTATTCCCTTTCAATTCCCATGTATACTAAACATTGGAATTGAAATTCCCAATAATTCTATTCATGTAAACCAAACACTGGAATTTAAATTCCCACTTTATTTCCAGTAATTCATCTCCCATGAAATTGCAATAAGAGGTAAAAAGTTACATATAAATGTAAGAAATTATAATAGTTATGTGGGAAAGTATAATACTTATGACAAATTTTATAGATCTCGCGAATAAGGGTCATGCATAAGACGGTCTCGTAAGATAGTTTGTCCTAATTGTATGGTTCTTTGTATTGATTGGTTATCTATTAGTTGATATAAATTTTACCAAAAATTAATCAAATAAGTAAACAATATCAATGTGTAAAATTTATATACAAAAATGTATATGATTCTTGCATTTTTCTTATAATTAACTTAATATCTTTTTTTATTTAAAAAAAAAATAAACTTACTATCTTTTTTGTTTTTGTTTTTTTTTTTGGTTTTTTTTTTGTTTTTTGTTTTTTGTTTTGTTTTTGTTTTGTTTTGTTTTTTTTGTTTTTTTTGTTTTTTTTGTTTTTTTTTTTAACAGAATCCATAGTCTAGAATCCGTTTGAAATATCTTAAAACTCTTTTGAGTGTCACCAATGCTTAGTGTTTGGAAAGTACATGAATTGACAAAATTTGTTGACTACAAAGGAGAGTTTTGGGCGAGTACGTGGTGGTGGTGGTTAAGTACTGAAGTGTTCCAACAAGGTTGCTGTGTAGAATTTTCATATGGTTGACTTGTGTTTGTTGCATTTAGCTTACTATTAAGAATTGGAGTTGAGAGTCGTTTGTAGTATTTCATTCCCGAACTTTTGATTATTTCAATTATAGAAAAAAGTTTCGTGATCCCATATCTCTTATTTTAAAGACATAAGCTAGCATGTTTGTAATAGAAGTCAAGAAACCTTTGTTGCTGCCCATTATTAATATATACATATATATATATATATATATATATATATATATATATATATATATATATCATGTTTGTAATAGGAGTCAAGAAACCTTTGTTGCTGCCCATTATTAATATATACATATACATATAATCAACATAAACCAGTTAATAAATCTGAGTGTTAGCAACTTAAATAGATAAACAAAGACACATCGCAATATTAAGTACATTAAAAAATAATAATTACTATACACACAAAATTGTGTGTGTGTGTTTTTTTTTTCTACAACATTCCATATCTTTATATCTGTGAAATTAGTTCATATTCGTCTCTATTCACATCTGCAGTGTTTAATTCTTACTCAAAAGAAAGCATGTTCAACCTTGTATTTGCATTAGCAATATAATGCTCTTATCAACCGTCTCAAGTTGCTAGGTTGTGTGTATCTTTTTTAATATGTGTATTCTTACAAAATATTACTCCCGCCGTGTTACTTATATTATGTACTTTCAGCATTGGTATTAATAATATTAAATACAACTAAATATATCATATTTAATTATATATAATAGACTACTTGTCCACACAAGGTGAAATATCTTTGCCCCAGAGCTCCGCACTCAGTCTGACGAGATTGTGGAAGGGTAAATCACAATGACTCATTAGTTGAGAAAATCAGTGCTTGATATGCCCATAAAGAACCAACCACATTGGATGTCAGGATTCGATTCTTTGTCCTTGTCCATAATTTATCACACAGGAACCAACAGTTGTCTGTGTGGGCTAGGTAGTGAGAGTTATATTTTGTAGGGATACAACTATTATTTTTTCAATTTAAAATAAAATAAAACAAAACACACATAAGGTCAAATTAAAGGTTGGATAGGTTTTCTTCCGAGTAAGAATTAAACTCTGTAGAAGTGATTGGAATCGAATCTAAATTAATTTACATATATGAAGATACCGGATACCGGATGTTGTAAAAAAAAAAAAAACACAATTTTATGTAATATATCTTAGGTGGTTGAGTTAACTGGTCCTAAAGGGTAGAAGGACCTGTAATTGATATTCACAAAGAATCACACTTTATAGAAGAGTGAAACTCCTACTATAGGCTCTATCCGACATATTTTCTTTATCAATAATATGACAATTTGTCACTCAAAAACTAATTAAACTAGTTGTGTGAACTATATAATGAATTACTACCATCCACACTGGCAATATTAAAAAAAAAAAAAAAACTTAAATATATATGTATAATGTATTTTAGAAACACCAAGAGAAAACAAAAGACAAGAAAATTGTGCATGTGGTGCTGTCTATATATATATATATATATATATATATATATATATATATATATATATATATGTTGGGGTATGAAGCCAAACTGGCCTGGGAGAAAAGCTGATTGCCAATAAAAATAATGGCGACTTACTGCCGACAATGGCTGCTGCTTCTTCTTCTTCTCTTACCTCTCATGGTGTCATCAGCAGCTCGTTTCAGAACACCTCTTCTAACTCACAATTTGGAGGACTCTTCTCCCTCGCCGTTTCCGCCCAACTTTTTCTTCGGCACTTCTTCCTCTTCTTACCAGGTTTCATTTCTCTCCTTTTCTTTTTCTTGCCAACAAAACGCGAAATTCTCTAGCCCCAGAGCTCTACACCCGGACCTGATAAAATAATGGAGGGATAAATCACAGTGATTCAGTTAGATTAGAGGACCAGTACATGCCTAGCTAGACTCACAAGGAACCCATCACGTTGAGTTTAACTGCTACACTGATACTGTCAGGGACTCAAATGCATGGGATGAGATAAGTTTTTCTTTTTTCATCAATGTTGGCCCAGTCGAGGCTTGTCCATGCCCAATCCCGATGGACAAACCCTAGCTCTATAATCCACCCGCCTTTCCTTGTCCCGGAAAGCCCTCCCGGGGGCGTGGCCTAGCCTTCTTTAATTTCTCAACTCGAGTCTTAAGTTCAGCGGCTTTCATTGTTGATGAACACCTGAACTAATAAAATCTGTATTTAATCTACCACGTGAGAACCAACTGAGCTGCCACTAGTATAATGCGGGCTCCTTTTCTTTTTCTTCTTTCATATTTATGAGTATTATATTCATATAATGTGTTGGTGCAGTATGAAGGAGGTTATTTAAGTGATGGTAAAGGTCTAAGCAACTGGGATGTTTTCACCCATCAACCAGGTCATGCTAGCTTCCAATTCCACCCATATATAAAAATGCTTAGCTTATTGTTTGATAAAAATAAATTCCACAAAAAAAATTAAAAATAAAATGTTGCAGGAAATATCTTGGATGGAAGCAATGGAGATGTTGCGGCTGATCAATACGACTTGTATAAGGTACTGATATTATCTCCTCCATTATTTTTCACCCTATGTATAGGTAGAATTTTAACCATTTGTCAAGAAAATAGAAAACAATGGCTTTTATTATTTTTTGGAATAAGGTTCAAATTCGCCACTGAACGTAATCTAAAAATGTAATTAGGCCACTGAATAAAAAAATTACAATTAGGCCACTGAACACTCCAAAAATGTGCAATTTCACCTGATAGCAGGTTACCCTCAATTTAGCAGGTTACCTGCTTACGTGGAAGCTGAGTTGGCATTTTTAATAAAATTTAAATAATTTTTAATAAATTTTAATAAAAAAAATTTTAAAAATAAAAACAACTTTATTTTATTTTTTATTTAATTTTTTTCAATTTTTTGAAAAAATTATTATTAAAATTAATTATTAAAAATTATTTAAAAATTATTAAAAATGCCAACTCAACTGCCACGTAAGCAGGTAACCTGCTAAAATTGATGGTAACCTGCTATCCGGTGAAATTGCATACGTTTGGAGAGTTCAGTGGCCTAATTGTACGTTTGTGGAGTGTTCAGTGACTTAATTGCACTTTTCTTTCGTTCAGTGGCCTAATTTCATTTTCAGGTTACGTTCAGTGGCCAACTTGAACCTTATTCCTTATTTTTAAAACTAAAAATGACACCTTTAATTCTCCAATTATAAGGTATAATGAATTTAGTTCTATAATTATGAATGCCTCTAATTTTGGTCTTCTAATTATTAACATAGTAGTGTTTTTCTTTCCATCTAAATAAACAATACCGTTTGTCAAATTAACAGGGAATTTGGTTGGAGGGAATTTAAATTCCATTCCCACTTAATTCCCATCCAAAGGCCACTAAATTTTTTAATTAGTTTGGTTGGAAGGAATTACAATTCCACGAAATTGTAAATCCCTCATTTTCATGGAATTAAAATCCCATGCTCTCCTTGGGATTTTAATTCCATGGATTTTAGGAAGAAAAAAAATAATAATGGGTCAAATTATCCCTCCACTTTTTTACTCAAAAATTGATATCTGACAACAACAATGAGTATTTTGGACTTTATACTACTTACTCCCTTCAATTCCCATGTATACCAAACATTGGAATTGAAATTCTCAGTAATTTTATTCCTGTAAACCAAACACTGGAATTTAAATTCTCACTTTATTCCCAGTAATTCATCTCCCATGGAATTGCAATTCCTTTCCTACGTAATTTCCTCCCTCCAACCAAACGCCCCGTTAGTATTTACTATTATGTCAAAAGTTATAATTAGTAGCGAATATGTAATTTTTTTCTTTATACTTGCATAGCAGTCAGCCTCATGTTTTGATGGCAGAATGCTAAACTAGTCGGCCGCCGAACAATCTCCTCCAAGCACCTATTAGCCTCAACTACAAAACATGCATGCTTTCAGTATAATCTCATGACATGCTCCGATACCAATTGTTAAGATCAAGAACTTATCACTACTATGCAAAAGTTACATATAGCTAGTAGCCTAGTAGCAAAGACAAAACTTTATTTCTTTATACTTATATAACCATCAATATTAAATTTCAACAGTAGAATGTCGGACGCCGCCCAAAACCGTTAGAAACCACTAATTTGTATATATCTCAAACCCAAAATTTTCAATATTAAGCTCATAAATTCATCTCAAATTTCTCTTTTTTTACTCGTATTTTCCTCCAATATAAATAGGCTACCGAGACAAAACACATCATTTTCACCCAAATATGTGCTTTTAACGCAAATAATTTATGCATAATTTCCCCCAATATGGAGAGAAGGGGAATAAGTGAATCAGAAAGCTAAGATGAATTTATAAGTCTAGTCCAAAAAAGAAATAAATTGTGAAATTGAAATTAATTGCCACTTCGTGAGTGACACTGACCATTATTTTTCTATGGAGACAAAAATGTCACTATTTTAATAAATGATGGACCTAATTAAAATTAGAGGAACCTCCCGACCAAAAACATCATTTTTTTTTTTAATTTCTTTTTGTTCTTATATATGGTGGTACTGAAAACAGGAAGATGCAGATCTATTGGCGTCTCTGGGAGTCAATAGCCACAAGTTCTCAATATCATGGTCTCGGGTTCTGCCAAGTTAGGACCCCCCCCCCCCCCCCACCCCCCATCCACACACACACATATCCACTTTGATTTCTCTCCTTAAAAACATAATTTTTTTTTTTTTTATCATATCATCTAAATTCTAATCATTAGTTGTTACATATATGCTGCAGAAGGAAGACATGGAAACATTAACTTGGAGGGGATCAAATACTATAGAAATCTCATTGATTCTCTCCTGCTCAAAGGTTTTGTCCTAAATACAATTCCTCACAGTTGATTGTTTTTCAAGAATTAATAACCCTAGCTAGCTTAATTTAAATGCATGCATGCATGCAACGTAACAGGAATCGAGCCATTTGTGACTATAAATCATTATGATCTCCCTCAAGAACTCCAGGACCGATTTCAAGGTTGGCTCAGCCCTGAAATGCAGTAAGTTGTTCTACTTTAATTTAATTTCTTAGGAGGTCAAACAGTGCTTTTGGGAAGACATTTAATAAGCCTAGCTTTGTCCCAATTTAGTATTCACTAAAATTTAGTACTCGAATAAAGAGTTAATTTCACTGGAGGTCCTTTGTCTTTGATGGCAATTCCAAATTTAGTCCTAGACTATCGTTTTTGTCATTTTACATCCCAGACTATCGTTTTTTGGACACTTTTAGTCATTCTCATGATTTTTTTTCTATTTTTAGTAAGGTCATTTTTGTCTCTTCATATTTTTCTTTTGTTATTTTTCTGATTTCAACCAGTTTAATTGATTTAGGACTTTACTAAAATTTGGTTGAAAAATATAGTTACTACAAATCAGAGGTTACCTAAAGTTCTAAACTAATTAAACTGGTTGAAACCGAAAAAATAATAAAAGAAAAATATGAAGAGACAAAAATGTCTTTACTAAAAATAGAAAAAAATCATGAGAACGATTAAAAGTGTCCAAAAAACGATAGTCTGGGATGTAAAATCACTACTGGAAATTCTGAAATTTCCGACCACCTGAAAATGATCTTAAATTAAGTTGATACCAAAAAGTCCAAAAAGTGGTCGGAAATAGCAACAAAGGTTTTTCCGGATACCAAAAGTGGTCGGAACAAGACTTTCAACTTGATTTATGATCACTTTCAGGTGGTCGAAAATTTCAGAATTTCCAGTAGTGAATGACAAAAATGATAGTCTGGAACTAAATTTGGAATTGCCACCAAAGACAAAGGACATCCGGTGGAATTAACTCTCGAATAAATTAAAGTGAATGAGTTTTAAGAAAAGTGTGTTGGGGAGTGAGATAGAATTAATATTATTTAACTTTAATTTCAGGGAAGAATATGCATACTTAGCAGATGTGTGCTTCAATCATCTTGGTGATAAAGTGAAGTACTGGATTACCTTCAATGAGCCCAACATGTGGGCCATTGCTGCCTATAGGTATCGGTTGTGGCCCCATGGCAACTGCAGTGAAGGAAATGCAACAAAGGATATATTCATTGTAGCCCACAACATGATTCTAGCTCATGCTGCCGCTGTCAATATTTACAGAAAAAATTACCAGCAACAACAAGGAGGTGAAATAGGAATTGCAATGCTTTTTACCTGGTTTCTACCCATGACTAACTCCACTGTAGACAAAGCAGCAGCTGAGAGAGCTCATTCCTTCTTGTCAAACTGGTAAACTTTCCTTAACAGATCGATAATTATATTGTCCCAATGGCATATATATATATATATCCTTGCACATAAGGGAAAATAATCACATATTTGGTTGAGTTATATATATTCCACCGTGCTTCTATGGTTATGTCTAGTTTTGGTCAGGCTGTTGGCTTGATAAATAAAAGGTTACTAGTTTTGGTCAGACTGTTGACTTGATAAATAAAAGGTTACTAGTTTGACCCTCAACATTAGTGGTTTAACTGGTCTCATTGTATTCCTTTTCCAGCTAGGGTTGAGGTTTACTTGTTACATACTTTCGAATTCGAATAGTGATTGTAGGTCGAAGAAGATATAGAGAACTTTCGAATAGTGATTACTCATCAGCTCGGAAAAGATATAGAGAGTATTCTGTCTTCGGTAACTGAGAACTTTCGAATAGTGATTACTCAGCTCGGAAAAGATATAGAGAGTATTATGTCTTCAGTAACTCAGTTGAACTTTCTCACTGTCGCTGGTGAGACTCGATCCCAGTCATTGTTTCCAAACTTCACCCCTGTGACTGAGCTGCTCATGTGTGCCTATGTTTGTCTAAGTTTTTTCAATGTTTATCAATGCCGTCATTTACGTTTTTTTTTTTTTCATTGATTTTTCACCCAAATCTAATGGAATATCATTGAAAACGACCAAATTTATTGCTTTAATTTAGGAATATATCTTTTCCACTCGTGAGTCAACCACTCGGGTTATTTTTTGAGTCTGATGTTGAGACTGTCCACTCGAGTTAACATTTGGATGAACATTATGTTTCAACCCGGGGAACCATTCGGTTGGTTACGAATGTAGAGCAGAATATCTAAGTCTAGATCGAAAATAAAATAATTTGAGGGTCTAAAATTCTTATTGTTTAGTATCATCAAAATCTAATAAAAATTTCCTTTCAAAAAAAAAATCTAATAAAAATGTTCCTAACACATTTTACCATGAATCAAGTTTTTCAGAACGGAAAAACAGACATAAATGAAGGGTATAACATTCATTCACACTTATTATGCAGATGCATAACAAAAGGGATTGAGTATATAGTATAACTGAGGGACCAAATACAGTTTCATATAGATGCATAATAATGAATTTTGGCAATACTCAAAACAGGTTCTTGGACCCAATCATGTATGGATCATATCCCAAAGAAATGAAAGATATTTTGGGGTCACATTTACCAGAGTTTTCAAGTACTGACCTGGAAAAGCTGAAAGCTGGAGGGTCGGATTTTATTGGAATCAACCATTACACAACCTATTATGCCCAAGATTGCTTGTATTCTACATGTGACCCTTCTATGGCAGGAAACACCAGAGAAGAAGGTTTTGTTGGCCAAAGTCTATCCAAGAACGGCAAACTTATTGGGGAACTGGTAAATATAGTTAATTGTATTGTTGATTCACCATTTATCTCTATTACACACTATTGCTAAGTTTTTTTTTTTTTTTAAACACTATTGCTAAGATTTCTTGTCACTGGAAACTGGTTGGATCGAAATGACTTTTTTAAGAGTTCTAGTACTCCCAAATCTTACTCTCTCAATTTTGTTCCTTGATGTGGCGGGCTCTAATAAGCTAATTTTCATGTGGGTCTCAATGCAAGTGTCTACATCAAGTTTTTATGTGTGGGAGTAAAAGTTGGGAGTATAAAGTGGGAGTACACGAAGTATTTTTCTTTTTCTAACCACTTTGAGGATATAACCTAGCTAGGCAACTGGTAGATGCCAGTTATTGGAAATTTTTTAAATGAAAAATGCTTTGTTCCCTCTTAAAATTTTTTCACTTAATCATCACTTATAACAATTGGGTGTTATGAATTGGGTGTTATGAATTGATTCGCAATACTAAATTGTTATTTAAAAAAAAAAAAAAAAAAAAAAAAAAAAACCATCCAATGAAATAGTACTATGTCGGAAGGGGAGAGTATGAGGGGAAAATTTTGAAGGGGTGATAACCTTATTGGGAAACTAGTAAATATAGTTATATTGTTGGTTTACCAAATATCTCTATTAAATACTATTGGAATACCTAAAAGTTTTTATTACTAGAAATGCCTTGGGAATGCTTAGCTTTTTGACCACTTTGACGATTAGAAACATCTTTTGTTGCTATTATCGACCATTTGTTGAAGGTTTTCTATAACATTGAGTCATTGACTACCAAGTAGTTAAAATATTTAAATGATTGGTTGACCTAAGTGACCGATAGATGTTGACAATTTAAAATTTTTAAAACACACACAAAACCATGGTTGTAGGAAGGTCGAAAGCATGTTGAATTGTTTCTTCTCCTCCCTATTTTCTTTTCCTACTCTTCTTTCTTCTTGTTGAGAAGTCAAATTTTAAAAAATAATTCATTTTCATATTAGTCTCAAAAATTTTCAGACCACCAAAATGATGGTTGAAAATAAGGTATTTTTTATGGTAATGAATTTTTTCAACCATATTTATAGGCGGGTAAAAAAAATAAAAAAATAAAAAAAAAAAACAAAATCGGACAATATGATTTAAAAAATTGAAAAAAATCACTAACCTCTATCATTTTTTGATTGGTTAAAAAAAGGTAGGTAATTAGGGAATTCCCCATAGTGACATATCATACACTTACTTGCATTGTCATTAACTTTTGGAACTTGCTACTTGGGCTTTTGCAGGCAGGGTTGGGATATATAGCTGTTTATCCACCTGGAATGGAGAAAATGGTAACTTATCTGAAAGAAAAATTTTCAAACATACCACTTTATGTAACAGAAAATGGTAAGATGGCCATTTTCTTGATAACCCATGATTTTTCAATTTAGTTCAAACTATGTATCTAAAGTTAATGAAAACCGCAACATGTTACAGGTTATTGTGACACAACCACCCCAAACTCTAACATTGAAGAAGTATTGAATGATACAAAACGAGTCAAATTCTTTGCTGATTATCTAAATGCCCTTGCAACTGCCATCAGGTATTACAATATCCGGTTTACCTCAATTATTCGCGATTAGTTGTTTTGGTCATCACTATTAAAATTAAAATTTATCCTTATTTCTACAATATAGTCACAATTTTAATCCTCAAATAAACATAAATGCAAGACAATGTTAAGTTTTGGATTTTTTTGGTCAATACTTTTTGTACATTTAGTACTTAATTAAATTTTTAGTTAAAATGGAGCATATTATTCAATTTGGATAAAACAACAAAATTTGAAAATTTTAGCGCTTATGTTTCTGTTCATGGTTGATCAAATTGCAAATCTTATAAAGTTGAAGGTATGTTTTATACTCCGTTATTTTTTACAGCAAAGGACCAAAATGACTCATATTTCCTCATTGTTTTGTATCATTTGAATGATATATGATAGCAATGTTTTTTTACCTTGTACATGTTCAGGAAAGGAGCAGATGTTAGAGGCTATTTTATTTGGTCTTTGTTCGATAACTTTGAGTGGACATTTGGATACACAAAGAGATTGGGACTTTACCAATTTGATCGTGTCACGTTAAAGAGGACTCCAAAATTATCTGCAAAATGGTACAAACAATTCATTGCAAAGAATCGAAAAGTTGAGAGTAAAATGCAATTGGGAAATATGATTCTTCATCAGAATCAATGAAATATATAGTTCATGTGTAAAACTCTACAAGTCCACATATCGAACTGTGTAGTAATAAATAATTGAGTAGAGTATCAATGCCATAAGGGCAAATTTATTGCTAATTATTAAAATTGTAATGTTTTATATTTTATTTAGCAAATGAAAATTCAAGACTAGTTTGAAATGATTCAAAGTATTGAGAAAAAATAATGTCTTTAGGTTGATTTACCTTTCTTGTGACTTGGCTAAGGTTAAGCTTGCCTTCTTTGCGGTGTTTTATGTGAGAGGGTCTAACATCTTCAGGCGAGACATTTACAATTTTTTATTTTTATTTTTTTGTTAATAAGAACTAAGAAATATTTATTAATTGTTAAAAATGTTGTACTTTGTCCCATGATATTGGTCTAGTGGATAGAAGAGATGTCTCGTTTAAGGTTACAGGGTGGGGACTTTATTCCTACCACGCACAATAGGGTATGGATTTTGTTTAGGTTAATTATGTGTATAAGTGTACAATTTAATATTAATCTTCAAAAATAGATTAACTCATTTACTTTCTTATAAACTTAGAGTGGGTCTATGCATGGTGTTTAAGATTAGGGATGTCGATTTCCCCCGTCCCCCGAGGATGGAGAATATTGCATGTTTTTAATTCCTTGTTGAGGACAGGGAAGGGAATGGAGATACCCATTCCCACTTCGCCCCGTCTCCCGATAATAATAATAATAATAATAATAATAATAATAATAATAATAATAATAATAATAATAATAATAATAATAATAATAATAATAATAATAATAATAATAATAATAATTATTATTATTATTATTATTATTATTATTATTATTATTATTATTATTATTAAATTTGTAGATATGTTGTATTGTATTTGGATGCTAGTTTTTTACGCGCATTTGCGCGATTGGGATAATGCCCAATATTTTTTTTATAAATAAGTACTTTAATTTAAAGTATATCAAGACAAAATTATATTGGAATTGTTCATGCATAGATAATTGAATGTTAAATTTGCGTATTTAAATAGACAATTCTAAGTTTACAAATGCAAGATAAAATAGTCAAGATTGATTATAATTGTCAATAAAATAATTGCATAGGTATGATTGAAACTAAATACGGGACATAAGGGAGTGCAAATAAAAATTAGGGCATAAAACATTAAATATATACTAATATTGAAGAGCTAACTGTTGATTGTCAAACAAGAACATTGCAAGATAGTTTCCCACTTCAATTTGTTGTGTGATTTGAATACTCTTTTTTGTCAATAAATCCCACAAGTAGTTAATATGATTGGCTTATTTTTTTATTTTTTTTAAAAAACAATTAATAATAATAATAATAATAATAATTATAATTATTATTATTATTATTATTATTATTATTATTATTATTATTATTATTATTATTATTATTATTATTATTATTATTATTATTATTATTATTATTATTAAATATATGTATACCCTTAGGTCATTTTACATGTTAATCTAAACAACTAATTTTTTCAAATATCTTTTTACTAACCATTGATATAATTCGTTGGTCAAATTCGCTAATATAATCCGCTAACTGCTAATTGTCAAACAAGGACATTGCGAGGTAGTTCTCACTTCAATTTTTTGTGTGATTTGAATACTCTCTTTGTCAACAAATCCCTCAAGTAGTTAATATGATTGGCTTTATTAATTATATATTTTTTTTAATTTTTTCATGGTATTAATAAAATACTTGGTAAATAAATACTCCGTATATAACATTATTTTGTATTATAACTTTGATATTTAATTAAAAAATAATGCACAAAAAATATAATAGACAATATACTGAATATAATCAATTGATGAATTTGAATGTAAAGAATTTTTACATTAGAGAAATATAAAGACAATATAACTAATAAAATTATTTCTCTTAATTAATTTATTGATAATGAATAATTTTTTTTAATAAAGACATTGCATTGTAGGGACAATGTAGCGAATATAAGCAATTGATGAATTTGAATGTAAAGAATTTTTATATTGGAGAAAAATAAATACAATATAACTAATTAAATTATTTCTCTTATTTATTTTATTGATAATGAATAATTTTTTTTTGAATAAAGACATTGTAGACACATAATTCTAAATTAAAGAAATGCATATGTATTATTTTTTGTTGTAGCTACTAAATTATTATTTTTATAATTTAATAAGAGTAAAATAGAGTACTAACTATGCCAACTTTAATTGGGATGAGGTTCGAACCTAAGACCTTTCTTATTGAAATCAATGAGTAAGTTAACGATGAATTAACAGAAATTAACGGAAAAGATAATATTTAACGGAAAAGTTAACGGATAATTATATTCATTAAGGATAAATTAGGAAATCTTAAGAAAAAAATTAAAATCTGAGCCATTCATTTGATTAAAAAATTTGACCGCCATTTTTTCTACCCATTATAGGCCTAACTCTCTTGGGCTCTTATATATATATATATATATATATATATATATATATATATATATATATATATATATATATATATATATATATATATATATATATATATATATATATATATATATATATATATATATATATATATATATATATATATATATATATATATATATATATATATACTAGTTTTTTACTCGCATTGCCCAATGTTTTTTTTTTAAATAAGTATTTTAAAGTATATCAAGACAAGATTATATTGGAATTGTTCATGCATAGATAATTGAATATTAAATTTGTGCATTTAAATAGGGAATTCTAAGTTTACAAATGCATGATAATATAGTCAAGATTGATTATAATTATCAATAAAATAATTGTATAGGTATGGTTGAAACCAAATACAGGATATAAGGGAGAGAAAATAAAAATTAGGGCATAAAATATTAAATATATACTAATATTGAAGAGCTAACTGCTGATTGCCAAACAAGGACATTGCGAGATAGTTTCCCACTTCAATTTGTTGTGTGATTTGAATACTCTTTTTGTCAATAAATCCTCCAAGTAGTTAATATGATTGGCTTATATATATATATATATATATATATATATATATATATATATATATATATATATATATATATATATATATTTATTTATTTATTTATTTATTTATTTATTTAAAACAATTATTATTATTATTATTATTATTATTATTATTATTATTATTATTATTATTATTATTATTATTATTATTATTATTATATGTATACCTTAGGAGTTAGGTCATTTTACATGTTAATCTAAACAACTAATTTTTTCAAATATCTTTTTACCAACCATTGATATAATTCGCTGGTCAAATTCGCTAATATAATCCGCTAACACTAACCACTAACTGCTGATTGTCAAACAAAAATATTGCGAGGTAGTTCTCACTTCAATTTGTTGTGTGATTTGAATACTCTCTTTGTCAACAAATCCTTCAAGTAGTTAATATGATCAGCTTTATTAATTATATTTTTTAAATTTTTTTCATGGTATTAATAAAATACTTGGTAAATAAATATATAGCATTATTTTGTATTATAATTTTGATATTTAATTAAAAAATAGTGCACAAAAAAAGATAATAGACAATGTAGTAATATAATCAATTGATGAATTTGAATGTAAAGAATTTTTACATTGGAGAAATATAAACACAATATAACTAATAAAATTATTTCTCTTAATTAATTTATTAATAATAAATTATTTTTTTAATAAAGACATTGTAGGGACAATGTAACAAATATAATCAATTGATGAATTTGAGTGTAAAGAATTTTTATATTGGAGAAAAATAAATACTTTTTTTTTTGAAAGTGGAGAAAAATAAATACAATATAACTAATGAAATTATTTCTGTTATTTAATTTATTAATAATGAATAATTTTTTTTTTTTTGAATAAAGACATTGTAGATACATAATTCTAAATTAAAGAAATTAATATGTATTATTTTTTGTTGTAGCTACTAAATTATTATTTAATTTAATAAGAGTAAAATAGAGTACTAATTATGCCAACTTTGATTGGGATGGGGTTTGAACCTAAGACCTTTCAATTCTTATTAAAATCAATAAGTAAGTTAACGGTGAACTAACAGAAATTAACAGAAAAGATAATATTTAACGAAAAAGTTAACGAAAATCATATTCATTAAGGATAAATTAGGAAATCATAAGGAAAAATTAAAATCTGATCAATCTGAGCCATTCATTTGATTAAAAAAGTTGACCGCCATTTTTTCTACCCATTATAGACCTAACTCTCTTGGGCTCTTATTAATATAGTATATATATATATATATATATATATATATATATATATATATATATATATATATATATATATATATATATATATATATATATATATATATATATATATATATATATATATATATATATATATATATATATATATATATATATATATATATATATAAACATATTTAAATAATATATTTGACATTTTGATTATATTGTTATTAAGAATTAATGAAGATTTAATTATTCTAAGATTAAAAATATTATATTTAATTATGGGGAACTGGTGAAGGTGAGCCATGCCAAAGGGATGATGAGTGATAATGACGTTGGGGCTATTTGCTTCCTGGAAACAAAAACGAAGGAAATTGGTAGGCTTAGGAAGATAGATGAGAAGTTGGGTTTCGATAAACACTTTTTTGTGGATCCGTTGGGTTTTGCTGGAGGCTTGACGGTATTATGGAGATCTAACATTTTTAACTTCGTGGTGGTCAAACACATGTGGCAAGTCTGGAACATCGCTACAGACGAAGTGAGGAGAGCTATTTTCGAGATGTTAAAATTCGGCAACTCAAGTTAGGACGGTATTCAAGCTGCCTTTTACTATTCTTTTTGGGAGGTGGTCAAGGATCCTATCACTAACCTCGTTAATGGGGCGGTAAGGACGGGGACAATCGTTATACCCTACACCACGGCGCACATAGCACTGTGCGCCGCGCGCCTCCCAAAACGACGTTGTTTTGGAGTCGTTTTGGGAGACGCGGTAGGAAGTTACTGGGATTATGTGTATTTGTTCATACAATTATGTGTATTTGTTCATACAGTTATGTGTATTGGTTCATACAGTTATGTACATTTTTTATACAATTATGTACATTCTTTTTATACAATTATGT